ATTTATAAAATAAATCTGAATAGTTCAATCAACATCCAACAATGACGTCTGTGATCCGCTCTCGCAACTCAACAATTTCTGTGGCACCTTCGCCATCCTAGCAGTACCATTCCTGTGGCTTTGCCTCTGACTGTGGTATAGATTGTCCTACGTGAAATTCAAATGCTTCTAACGGGACCTATATCTGATCATCGTCAGTCATGGTGAAGTCAACATCTATCCGAGAATAATACCAACGAATGTAGTTGTGAAACGTCATTGTAGCCACTACAATCTGCACCTGTTTCGGAAATGGATACGTCGGCATATCACGCAGTATGATATATTTCTTATTCCACACTCCAAACGTTCTTTCAATTATGTCGCGTAAGGAGTGTATTTGTATCTAGAAATGACTTCGATACCCCCTCTGTAAGAGATCCAACATCAATCAAGTAATATTTACCTGTCGGGAATACAATTATTAATAATAAACTTGAAAAAATGAATGTGCTTGATATCTTAACAAACCTGGAGGTGGGTGAGGGAAGCCTTGTGTTCGGTTTTATGTCGTAAGAGCAAAAATACGACTATTATGTGCATTGTCTTCTCAAACAGCTATCATAAAAGTAAAGCACATGTTGAAGTTACAGATGATCATCACATTCTGTGTGGGTAATCCACACCGTCCAATGTATGTGACTCAATATTGGATACAAGTGCATCCAAGTGAGTTTCGTCAATTGCTCTAATACAGTTTTAACAAAATAAATAGAGTTGTGATAACCACACAACTCATTTTGACTTCTGCATGTAATATGTTAAAAAGATTTACCTTAAAAATTGTATATACCGCGAGTCATTTATCATCTTTGTTGGAGTCGTCTCGAATGTTGGATCCTCTAGTTTAATAATCTGTCACCAAACTATCAAGAGCTTTCAAACCTATTGAAAAATATCTGTTAATTGTCTACGATGAATGTCGGATCGCTCCATCACTCATCTCACTGATTCATTTTCTGATAAACTGTAAAGGGTTATTGCAAACACTTCTTTTGTTGTCGTCATTGAGGAGCTTTGGAGTTCATGATGGCTATGTAGTTCATCAAGCAGATACATGAATATAAGTTATCATACGGAACATGTTATTGAATCTTTTGAGGTGTTTTTGTAGTAACTCCCCAGCCCATTTATCACCAATATAAGTGTATGTCATGCAGGGAGTTCGATCGACATATGAGTTGTAGTATTCGTACAACAAGCAAACTATTGTCGCAATTTTTCTTCTCAGGCTCTCTATTTGGGAGTCCATGCTAAAGAATTGCTCTGTTCAGGTAACATGTGTGAATCAGACAACATTAAAAAAACATCTAAAATCTAAAAATTGGGTATGATGAGAAGACATAAATACACCGTAACATATAGATTGTCCATGCTAGAAGAAAAATCATCCAAATCAGATATTCGATGAAACAAACAGAAAAAAACCTAAGTCGTACAACAATAACTCCACAAAATCAAGTGTTTTTCCTGTCCATAAAAAACGCAAATAGTCGACCCTACAGTTAGGGGAATCTTCATGAATATCTGTCGATGGGTCAAGTCCTCCAACAACTTCAAGAAGTTTAGATAAAACGACATATCCTCGCAAACTTCGGGAGTTGTCATTGAACTAGAAGAAAGTCGTCTACGGATGTGTCATGTGAAGTATCAGCCAGAGTTGTGCACGCATCCACCAATTTTGTTATTTGGCTTCTGACGAAAACAACTCATTTTTTTCCTTTTCACCACCCTAGCATGTGAAGTCAAACTCCGTCTGGTTTGGGCTTGGGCCTTCACCGGAGCCACTTACCTGCTCGGCCTCCAAGTCCTCTGGTTTGCTTACAAACCCTTGCTCACTTGAGGTGAATGCATGACTGTCCGTTGTCACAACCTCACTGAATATAAGGTTCAACTTCTCCTCCAGATCAGGGTCAGAACCACTGAATTTGAATTTCTTGGCTGTTGACACTACCTACAACATAAGAGCAAGTTTATTACTTCAAACAACTTAGTAGGATAAAGTAAGAAAAAATAATTCTTCAATGGATAGGTTATTATCCCTAATTTCTCAGTCCGCCATTCCTCAGAAGCATCACTACTCCATTTGATGGGATCCCAACCCAAGCCCGTAGATTTCCGTTTTAATTCCTTCCATAATTTACAGTCCTTCGACTGATCCCACTTGCTGTTAAATTGATGTATGTCATGCTCCCTGTCATTTCCTTAAACTTCTTCATAATATTTTGTCACCCTTCCTTGTTAAAATAGGTTGTGGGTCTATTTCTCAGCTCAATCTCCTTAAGATACAGAACACAAAATATGAGTATGACTTCCCTATCCCACATGGCTGATGAACCAAGTTCTTTAGTCTTAACTATTGCATTACTAACAAAGAAAGGGCAAAACATTAATATTTCAAATCAACTAGAGAACAAACATTAGCCACCACCCAACAGCCACAAAGCCACCACCCAACAGCCACAAAGCCACCACCCCAACAGCCACCACCTTACCCCCAGTACAGCCACTACCCAACACCCAGCATAGCCATCCCAATCACCCAAACCACAACCATCCAACCACACCATCACACACATCCCACAACCACCAAAACACATGACATAAGCCCACAACACACACCCACCCAAAAAAAACAAAACATCCACAAGCTTCCCACATTAATAGATCAAATTAAAAAAAAAAATGTATGTAAATTTGAATTGACGCGATTACAAACAGGGCAGTCGAAACAATTCAATGAAGAAATCAAGCTTAACCTTTCTCATCCATTTCTCAAGTTATTATTCAAACATCAAAGGAAGTGAAGAAACCGCATCCCATATTTTTGTTTTGGGGCAATTACATACAGGGCACCTGAAACATTACCATCTACTAATGAAGCACCTCTTTAATCCAAATTTTAGATTAATCGATAACACATAAAAAAACCTGTATATAATTTTGAATTGAGTCAATCCTAAACCGGGCAGCCCAAACAATGCTATAAACAAATCAAGCAAACCATCTCATCCATTTTTCAAATTACCACTCAAACAACAAAGGGTGAAAAATCCCATCCTATATTTTTCATTTGGGGCAATCACATACAGGGCACCCGAAATATTGTTATCTACAAACGAAACATCCTCTTTCATCCAATTTTCAGATTCGTACTCAACAAATCAAGCACACCATATGATCATTCTCCAAAACAGCACTCCACTTTTTCCAAAATAGCTATAACATGTTCAATCCAATTTCACTATCACTTGTTGGAATGCATATATAAATGTATATAGAGTTGAAGGGTCTGCACTCAAAAGTTACAAATATATATAAACATGTCATGCTTTTTTAGATATGAAACCACATGGGAAGTGAAATGTATGCATGTAAATTTACCTATGTAAAATTTTGTTACATAGGTGAGCAGCTAGAGAACAATGCCGTGTACAAATCAAGCACCTTAGTTCATTTATTTTTCGAACAGGGCACTCGATACCTTGCCATCTACCAACAAATTCCATAAAGAAAGCCAAAAATCTCAAATCAGAGAAAACCCTAAATCAGAGAGCCATAGGAACGCATAACAGAGACATTGCCATCTACAGACAGATTGCATAAAAAAAGCTCTAAGCCAACAAATTGCAAATCAGAAAGCCAAAAAATCCCATAAAGAAAGCCAGTCCATCGACAATTAACACTCGAAATATTCACATATCACAGTAACCAGAGATCGGAGGGAAAATGAAAGGCAACTCTACGCGTGAGAGAGATGCGGGAGAGGGAGAGAAGTGCGACCTTACAAGGTTCGCGAGAGCGATGACACTAGGGTAGACAAGAGTCGAGAGAGACACGCCGGGTCAGCGGGATAATACACCCTCAAAGGAACGCGGGCGGCGGGGTCGATACTGCAGCCGCATTTAATAGCATGAATGAATGGATTATTCCGTTAAGCCAATGTGACGCACCAACCAAACGCCACATCCAATGTTTTGAAAACGCCCTGTGGTGAATAAGCTGCCCCAAATGGGCTCTAGGTAGCCTGTGGAGGATTATTGGAAGAAAAAAACGAATGATGTGAGAAAAATGAGTTATGATGGTTTAGTTATTCACTATGAACATTTTTTTACTATTCCTTATATAATGATTTTGATGTTTAGAAAACCATGAATTCACTCTCTTGTGAATGTTGATTTGCTGTTAGATGAGTAGTGATTTTACAATCCTATGAACACTACTTTTACAATTGGGGATGAAAGTGCTATGGTCTTGGAAAAATAAGTAAAAGTTCTTTCATATGCAATCTTGCATATAAAATAATCCAAAATAACAATTCTGATATCAGTTTGATGCAGGAAATCCTTGAAAATAAACTAAAAAGGTGCTAGAGAGGAAAGGAGAAAAAGAATAATAAAAATAACAAGAAAACCTCACTCTTGCACTAGGAGATGACTTCTCCCAAAATTCTTCAAGCATCACACCAAATCAAAGATCAAATACACATAATCATAATAAAAAAAGAGTCGTCACATTCAAAATAGAATTTATTCATCCGATAAAATTATCTTACCACTCAAATATCTTTTATTTGTAGATAGAAAAATAAATAAATACGAAGTTACTAAACAATTACTAACAAACTGCCAATAAAGTGCTAACATTCTTAATGACATTAATTACAATAATCTAAATAAAATGATAAAATGTAGAGGGTATGAATAACTTCAATATTCATGATAATAAAATTTTGCATTTTATGTCCACATTTTAATCAAATCCATATAAAGATGCAAGTGTGCAGTTTAACATATTTACTCAAGAGAATCTTGATATTATATTCAAACAAAATGATTTATAATAAAAAAACAATTTGCGGTAGGAATCCAAAAGAGTAGAAAAATAACTCAAAACATATGAACATTTGAACAGTTCTATGATTGAGGCTTTGTTTTACTCGAAAAGTTTAGAGCACTTACATAGATGGTAAAAGCTATTGCAACCGCCAAAATAGCATATCCTGCGTTATAAGCAGGAAACTTGTGGAGAAGATGTCTAGCAACAAAGACGCAAAATATCACAACAGGTATAACTACTAGTAAGATGGTAATGAGTAGAGACCAGGCATCAGGTCCAAATATCAATCTGCCACCAAAGATGAACTTCTGAAGATGATGAAAAGAGAAACAGTTACTATTGTTCAATGCAAAATATAAAACAAAACAGTTGGTTTTACGAGGAAAAACTTCTAGATAAATTAAAATTTGCAGAAACCATCTAAAATATCAGAGACCCCAATCTTTTACAATGCCTTCAAATATAAGCATGACTTTGCACATTATGCAGGTATGACGTGCAGAACATTAAAAGCAAAAATCATACATGATATAAAGCATAATGAGACCTAATAAACCTTTTCATGCTCAAGACCAGAACCTCAGAAATAGGTAAATATAAACCTAAATAAAAATGCCAATAATGATACCGAAAATATCATCTTTCATCCTACCATAACCACGAAATTAAATTTTAAGACATAAAAAAGGCACCCTCAACTGGATCTATTTCAGGCCACCAATTTACAAGCCTAAAATGGAGACCGGTTTTAAGCCCGAAATAAAGAATTGTGTTAAAAACAAATCAGGACTTGGGAGAAATGAGGGGAATCTACGAGAAAATTTCAAGTAAAATCTACTTTACATAGGTTAAAACAGAAACTAAGAATAAACAACATAAATGCTTCCACTTTCCACTCTATTATGTATCAACGTAGACAAACTAGTAGAAGCATCTTTCTAATCGGTCTACCACTTCATTTCTTAAATACATAGTCTGAGCAACGAAATAATTCATGTTTAGCAATTTGAAATCACAAAAAAAAAAGAGAGAAAAACATCTGAAGATAATATGAGGAAAGAAAAACAGAACTAAGTTCATATCATGAGCTTCAAAAACCATGTCCCCTGAAATTTATAGTTCGAAAGATGAATCTTCAGCAAGACCAAAAAACCACAAACAGGCAATTACATGCAACAAATTTAGACGTCTTTTATTTTGAAGTATGCAAAATGCTCAGCATTAAAGATAAAAAAAAAGGAGGCAAATAATTTACTTTTATTTCATTAACCACAAAATATTCATTCAGCATTTGATAACATTCACCAAACTGTCCTATTTACATCTTTTAATTGCTAAATTATCACCAAAAATGCTAAAAAAAAATTCCATAATTCCTTTTTAAGAATTTTATTAAATTGGTTCAGAAGACGATACTTAAGACCAGTAATTAAAAGAAGTTAGGACACTCATATCTTGATTTAATAGGTCCATGAATCCAATTTTATATCATTGACATGATTTTTTTTTATTTGAAAGCATGAGTTTTAAAAAAAAATTATCATGCAAACTTTATTCTTTAGAAATGAAACTTTCCATCCAACCAAATAAGGGAATGGTAAATTTGTGATCCTTTTGTCCTTAACATGGCCAGAAAAGTTAGCCCTTGGTGGCTTAAAACGCATGCAATCTTCAAAGTAAAGTTAATTGGTCTTCAACGCTATTAACACTCTGCTTTATACATATGGCAACCAAGTGATATAAATTTTAATTTTTTTCTGATATAGTCTATATCATCTTTTCATTGCATCGAGTGATTTATATAATGATTAAACGAATAAATTCTCTAACAGAGCAAATCAACATATGTGCAAAAAAATCTATATAAATAAAATTGTATGAACATATTGTAAGAAGAATTCATAGAAAACCCAATCTCATAAAACCCTTCTTCCTTCAAGAAGAGTGGAATCAAGCATGTCATAAAGGAGCCTTACAATGAGTGGAATGCAGTCTGCCTGCTTTTCATGGTGTACATCCATGATATATTAAGTACCCAAATTTCATATAAGATTGAATAGAATAAATACCACATCTTATTTTACTTTTCTAAAGGGCAATTTGCATATGGAGATCAATGAACTCTCTAGGAGAGAGATGCTCAGCTATTTTAATGTGATGGGAGGTGTTCAGCAAGATAGTAGGTGGGACCATTGTGTGTAGACAGGCGGAAGTAGGTAAGTTGGTATAAAAGCAATATGAGCAAGATAAAGGAGTTGAGAAGATGAGTCAAGAGGACTCACAAAAAATAACGTGTTGAGGTATAAAAGCATTTGAAGGTTGGGTCATAGCAACAATAGCCTTTCTAGAAATAAGAGTACCATAAAAAGATAAATCAAGTTACCCAAAGAGATAGTTCACCACCAAGATAAAAGGAATGAACAAAGCAGAGAGAACCAAAAAATTGTAGAGGTAAGAAAAAAAATAAGATTGCCCTGAATACAAACAAAAATGAGGATGAGGTTACCAAGAGAAATGAAAGACATTAGATTCAAAAAAATCAGAATTAGCACTAAAAATAATGTGGAACATCAATGTTTGGGCTATGTGAGTAGATGATGCTTTCATGCAACAAACCTATTATATTGGGATGTATAGGGGTTCTTGAATGTGACAAATAGAATGTGACAAACCAGTCATCTATTTGAATGCGACAAATAGAATGTTATTATATAGCTATGAGTTCTTGTAAGACAATTAAAGGATGACAAAGGTACAAGAAATTCAAGAGCACACAAGACAACCAGAAGAGAGAACCCTTTCATAAGAGCTATAGAGACTTTTTCAAATAATTTATGGGAATGTGGAGAAGAAATGTCAAGAGATAAAAGAAATGTCAAGGGATAAAAGCATGTGCAGATACACTAAAGTCTAACAATCTAGGATATGACATATGAGAAAACATCATGTGAAGCGAGTGAAACATAAAGGCCTGGGAATGTTAAATGAAGCTATCATAATCCTCCAGAAACAAAGTGGCTAATCCAAAATAAGAAGTAAAGAGATAATATAATTTTTCACAACATTCAAATAGATGACTGGTGCGGTTATAACAAGAACAAGGGAAAAAGCCTTTTCGCCCACATCCTTGATCATTGTCAATCCGCCTAGCACAACCACAAATGATCTACGAAAAATATCACATAACAAAGACAATTTGCCTAAATCGATAGAGTAAAAAACATATTGACACAAATTACTAGGAAGAAAGCATTGATTATGTTGGGAATGACAGAATTGATCATTAATTGAGATTATTCATGTTGAAAAAAAGATTAACCAAAAAACTTGACAACAAGAAACTCCTCATTCTATTTTTAGTAATGATCAGATCAATAGTAAATAGTCTATGTTGCAGAATATTTATGCCATTTTTCTCACAAGATAGTATTGTATTTTTGGATAAGTAAATAATTTTTTGAAGAGTAAAAATCTCAAAATATAGAGTGCATGCATGAGAAACATTCTTTTCTTAGAAACATGATTAAAAAAAATCTTGCATTTTCTTAGCAGTATCTTGGAGCATTATAGTGGAGGAAATGGATGGTTCAAAACTATGTGGTAAACAAATGATACAAACATGATTTGAAGCTTGGCAATTAAAAAACTTTGACATTGTCATCGTGATTGAGAGAAAATGCATCAAGACGTTGAAGAGAGTAGGTTCTTATGAAATTGATTTAAGACACTTACAATTTTTGTGTCCGCTTTCCTTTGATATTATTTTACAATATTTCAATAAAGAATAGAATATATCCTATATGCTATCATCAGAGAATAATAAAAAGCAATAGATAGTTTCCATCAAGAATAGAAGGGTAACAACTTAATGATGGGTTGGAATGAATGAAACTAGGGGATTAAAAAGAAAATGGTAAAGGCAATTAAATTGAAGTGAATTAATGTAAATGATTTTCATTCTTTCTTTCTTTCTTTTTGGATTAAAGAGCATCATTCAACCATCAAACATCACTGCCACCAATAAAAAAGTAAATGATAAATTTGGCGGTATCCATCTAAATTTAACTAAGCCATCAAGGAACTTCATGAAGGCCAGCAAAATGATTAATTGATAACAAAAAAAACGAAATATAAATAGTATAAATATAAGTATATAAATAAATGCATATAGACAATAAAACATGTCAAATGCTCTTGCATTATTCCAAGCAGCTCATTCAAGGAAAGTCGCACAAACAAGCAATGACATAAATGAACAGGATTAATCCTACACCTTCAAGCATGTTTGACCTATTCTTTAACATAATATTATTATGTCAGCACCTAAGGGAAATTTAGTATTTTTATATTTATTATTGTGGGATAAAAATAGGGCTAATGTGTTTAGGGTTAGGGTTATACTATGATTTTGTGGTCTAGAGTCTTAAGTTTAGGGTTTGGGAGAGATCGCCTATTTCTCGGATTGTAGGCGTTGGGAGAATTCGCCTACCTCTCGAATTGCAGGTATTTATCTCTTTTGTATGCATGTTGAGTTGTTTGGTATTGTATTGTTTTTATTTAGTATTGGTGGAATAAGATATTTTATTTCTGCCCTAATTTCTACCAAGATTCCTATCAAATTCGTATCAGAACAAAATTCTGGGAGGAAAAGACTGGATTGTTGTGTGCCAGGATGACATGATCGTGACCTTATAAGACAGCAAGGATTCAGCCAATGAGAAAGCCAAAATCAGGATCACTGCGACATTCATGATAGAGTCGCGATTCAAGATAGATGAGAAGACTGGCAGGATTGCAAACCGCCTGCATGATAGAAGCTCACGATGCATTCCTCCATTTAGTTTTATGTTTCTCTTTTTAAAGCAACATTCTGTGCCAAAAAGCATTACAAGTCTCACCAACATCTTATAAATTTTTCCTTTAAGTCAAAGCAGTACCTTTCTATCATACAATAGGCTCAATACATTCTTCCAATTCAACCAACCAACTTGAATTCTACTATTAACATCCCCATCTATATCTCCATCACTTTGAACAATAAACCCGAGAGCCATCTTATAAATTTTTCCTTTAAGTCAAAGCAGTACCTTTCTATCATACAATAGGCTCAATACATTCTTCCAATTCAACCAACCAACTTGAATTCTACTATTAACATCCCCATCTATATCTCCATCACTTTGAACAATAAACCCGAGAGATCTAAAACATTCACACCTTTTAATTATTTGATCACCCATGGTTATAACTCCGCCGCTAGATCTACTAATACTAAATTACATTCCATGTATTTAGTTTTAGATCTACT